AGCCTCAGGTTGAGGCGACGGAGTTAGCCTCAGGTTGAGGCGACGGAGTTAGCCTCAGGTTGAGGCGACGGAGTTAGCCTTCCAGACGGACTGTCCGCTGCTCGTCCCTCAAACAAAATGTAAGATCGGACTTTTGGTTCATGGTTCCAGAAAGTGCCCTAGGTGAAGAAATAAGTACTTGAGTGCCTACGTGTAGGGGCCAAAGGAGCTCGTCAGAACCTTGATCAAAACAGGTAAAAACACCTGTGCTTATGTGACTCCATCCCACTGAGGGAGTCAAACAAAAAGCAGGCGCTTGTCGGTGCCCCCGGGCGAGGAGCAGCGAGCGAGCGTCCTGGGTAGAGAATGGCGTTTGCCTGAAGGAGGGAAAGCGCTGGACGAAGGCGAGGGGTGGGCGCCAGGTCTCGGGGCGCCCGCACAGGGCGGGGGCGGGCTTATGAAAAACGGCACCCTTTGAGGGCAGGCCATTTTGTTGAGGCTCGCTGACGCGGACTCCTGTGGCTGAGGGTGGGCTCTGAGGGGAGCTTGCAGACTGGCGGATGGAGGGCGCCAGCTGGGTGGGGGCAGGGTGCAGCCAAAGGTGGCTTCTGGGGGTTTGGTCTGGACACCCAGCAATGCCCCAGTCATCGGGTGGGAAGTGGTACCTCGGAGTGCCGCTTAAAGGAGGCATTAAAAGGCAGCTGAAACGAAAGCGTGGAAGACGCTTGGCCTGTCATCGTGGAGAGCACACGAACGGCACCTCCTCGAAAGCCGTGCCACTCGGGGAGACAGCGGCGGGGGTGCCCTTCGGCGCCTCGGGCGGCTTCGGGCGGCCCGGGGACGCGGCAAGCTGCTGGGGGCAGGTGGCCGTCTTCGCTGAAGCTGCTTCCAAACCACACTGGTATCTTCGGCGGGCTCTTCAGCGGCGCGCGGAGATGAGCGCCTCGCCTCGCTGAGGCGTTCTGGGAGGACGCGACGTTTGTGAGTGGACAGGCTCGCAGATCACTTGCTTTGCGGTGAAAGGGGGCAGAAAAGTGGGACAGCAGACTTGCGTCCGGCGAAGCGATGTCGAGGGGCTGCTTCTGTATGGAGTGAAGGAGAAAAACTGATGCAATGCAGAGAATGGCCAAAGCGAAGCCCTCAAGTGGTCGAGGAACGAACCAAGTGCAGAAAAAAGGAATTTTCAAGCTAGAACTGGGAGTGCGGCGCTGCGCGGCAGGCGCAGGCTCAGGCCGGATGTCGGCCCGAGCCCCTCGGCCCCGTCTACATGAAATGCTGACGCAGCGCCCGTAGAGCTAGAGCTTGGGGGTCTGAAGCCCTCGTCTGTGCAGGCACTTAAGCGTGCGGTGGCAAGTCCGAGTCCGTGGCGCTTCCACTCGCGAGGCGCCGCTGTCTGCTGCCGCTCGCCGCAGCACGCGGGCGCATCAGCCTGATGAAGCGGCCCCGAGTAACGGGGGTACCCAAGAAACCAGGCTGTGCTGGGGCCGGGCCCTGGGCCTCGTCCCGAGCCCCCGCCGGTGGCTGAGCGGCCGCTTCGCCTGCGTGTCGGAACGGCGCGCCCCGCCCTTCTGGGCTCTGGCGACAGGTCTCGTAGTCACACCCTCCACGTGAGTCCCAAAACACGAGTAGCCCCCCCACCTGTTTTAAGTTTTATATTGAAAAGCGTGAACACCTGCAGCTTCTGTGGGTACCAAGGAGAGGCCAAAAAAAGGTATAGAAAGGTCTAAGACCATGGCTTTGCCCGTTAGACGAAGCAGTTATCTGCCTCTTCGGGTTTTCTGGCAGCACGAGTGAACAGCGAACCTGACTTGCACTTTTCTGTCCTTTCTCCCAGTGCATCACTTAGTAATCTGATCCAATAGAATCCCATCTAGGTTGAGAATTATAATCCCTCATACTGACATAATCTTCAAGTATTTTCAATGCAATATACCTTTAAGTGAACAAGTAACTTCTTTCAGAAGCTACACACCAGTCACTTTGGAGATGGAAGGCACCTAAACTCCCGAAGTCAGGACAAAGGCCAGATGTTCTTCTGAATGAGTCGAGAAACCCAACTCTGCATCCCCAGTTTTTGCCGTCCTGCCCCGCCTAGGTGGTCACCGTGTACTGTGCAGCCTGTCATGTCACAGGTTGCACTGGATGGTCCAAGACTCCAGCGTGAAATACTCTTAGGCAGCTGTTCATTTAATTCTAGTGATAGCACTCAAAAAATTTTATATAGATGTCCTTAGCTCATAACACCAGCTAATTATTAATAAACTGGCATTAACATGTTTATCTAGGTGTAAGAAGTCAGTTATCGTGGTCAAGGTTTCCAAGGGATTCAGGTGATACATCAGAGCAGATGAACGATGATAATGAATTGATTTATCTTCTTTATCCAGACACCTAGAAGTCACTTTCTGTTTTTGTTCTATTTTTCTTTGGTAGCCCTTTAAACTTCTAGGCTTTTTAGATGTCGAAAACATCCCCTGTGCCCGGGATTCCATACTGTACGGTTCCTTAGGGGCTGCTGTGGCTGGTCTTGGACATTTTTTATTAACTAGTGAGTATCCCAATTTTTCTCTAAGAAAAACTTGTGTAAATTTTTTTTCCTAGGTGGAATTGTACATGTTTGCTATTTACGCTTCTTCTTGACAGGTAGAATTAGAAGATCATGTGATGTTGGAGTAGGAGGATTTTTCTTGGTGACGTTAGGATGCTGGTAAGTATGCAAGTACTCAAAACCCACCACCGTGTCTGTTTGATGCTCAAGCACAAGCGCCAGTGAGCACAAACTCCCATGGGATATTTCAATTCTTGGTGAAGAATCTAAATTGCTCAGTGCTACGCATCAATAATGTTTTAACCGGTTTGGTTTATATTCAGTATTGTCATCTGTAAGCATCTTCAATTTCAAATTAGCTTCTACAGAAATTTTACATTAACAGATTTTTTTTCATGTTCTTCTAAGGTTCCACTGTAGGTACAATTATGCAAAACAAAGAATCCAGGAAAGAATTGCCAGAGAAGGAATTAAAAATAAGATTTTATATGAAAGTACCCACCTTGATCCTGAAAGAAAACAAACCAGTGGCAACAGCAGCAGCTGATCAAGCTCGGGCATAGAACACCCAAACACAACGAAGTCGGCGTGAAAAAGCACACACCTCCCTTTAATGTACCATGAAGCCTCCATCAAGCAAGTAACTCATGTGTAAAGTGCATTTCACCTACTGCCAGTATGTCCTATGGGAGATTATGCTTAAAAAAGTGTTTCCTTGAACTATGTGAGCATAAATGACATTGAGAATAAACCTCCCAATTAGAATTTTAGAATGAGTGTATCTATGCTTTCAGGCTTCCAATGTCAATATATCAGACTTAAAAGTAATGGACTATCACTTTGTTATTTTAAAAACTACTTGGTATGCATAAAATATGTTCAGAGTCATCTGACACAAAGACGACACTTAATTCAGTGGCTACCATAAAGAAACAAAGCACCTCAACACCCAACCAAATCAGTATTTATTAGTTAAAAAAAAAAAAAAATCTCCCTTTGCAAATCAACACAATTTATTTTTGGTTTTTAATAAATATAAACATTATTTAAATAAACAACAAACTAAAAGGTCTCGCTGGTTAAGAAATGATAAACGTGGAGCGGCCCAATGGAACAGAATGACGGCCTTACTACTGGCCTCTGACACCGAGCTATACGGCAAGATGAGGTGATCGTAAAGCTTACTATGCTCTGTGTCCCTTTCCAAAAGTAAAGTATGGCTCTGCTCCAGCCGAGTCACGGGAGGTCGCCTTTCCCTCCCACGCCACCTTCCGTGGTTGCCATTATGAGGGCCGAGACCCAAGGGCTGTGATTAGCAAAATGCCATGACTGCAGGTGAATGACGTCAAGTGCATGTTCCGAGAGGCTGTATTGATCCTAATAATCTGGAAGCTGCTACCAAAAAAAGAACTTGAATCGTGAGTAAGGGCAGGTTATCAGAAGGGAAAATGAGCCTGCACGAACGCCATGCCCACTCTTACTGACACACAGCCGAGTGCCTCTGCACCATTCACATTGATGAGACAGTGGCTCGTGTTCTAAGAGGCAGCACTGCCCCGAGCGGGGAGGAAACTGAGGAGCGCTCGTCAACACCTGCACGTGCAAGCTCTCGGGTCACCGAGGTGCTCGGAGCCTCGGTGCACTGACACGCGGAACTGAGCCGACTGCAGCAGGATTAGCAGCTAAAGACCCTTTCTAGCTCTATGATCGCATCTTACCCTGTGAGAAACCTCTTGGCTGGGGAAAATTTCCAAGGCCTTCACCAGTTACAAGGTTAGTTCGTTTTCACAGCAGAATGTTTGTAAAATTTGAAGACCTGGGTAAAAACAAAGTTTTGACATACTTACTTGGTTGTATCTTTAAATGTCACCTCACAGGTTATGGTCACTAGTACTTTGTATTTCCTTTGAAAGCCGTTTTCACAAGCTGCATTGGTGAGTTACTGGACTGTGTTACAGAATCAAAGGCTTTCACTGCACTGCTACTGGACACCTTTATGCCTCCACACTGACCTGGGCCCATCTGCTTCCAGGCTCCCCACGCCAACCCATTTTCACTCTGCTAATCAACTTCACATCCAAACTGTAAAGCTTTGTCAACCTACCCCCTTTCCTTTCCCTAGATATGCCCCATACCCTGGTTCACTAAACCTCTGGGAATGACTTCATTTACATTTCCCTACTTCGTGTCTCAGACTTAATAGCTGGCATTTTCATGATCACTAATCTGTGCTCTAAGTACAGCTTAAGTTTATTGATGTCAACAGCTGTTAGTTTTTATCTTCACACTCCCTTATTAAGTGTCTGGCACAAAATAGTCACATGTATTGTGAAATTGAATTACTAAATGCTCACTATCAAGTGGACACATTCTAGTGTCCCGCCCCTCCACGCAAACACAATTTGCAGTTTTAAACTGGTAACTGGGCCACCCTAGTGGCACAAAGGGTTAAGACAAAGCACCATGAAGCCATCTGCAGCCATTGCAGGTAGTCTGATCCCTGACCAGGGGTGGCCCACAGGGCGCAGCAGACCCCTCCCATCTCTCCCGTTGCCCCCTCAGCAGCGTCCTTCAGTCCATCTGCCTGTTCTGCTCCCCCCTCTCTCCGGTGGGTACCCTCACCCCCCATCCACACCTCTGGCCTGCCCCCCAGCGCTTGTATACATAAATACTTCTTTAAAAAACAAAATGACTGTCTCTGGTGAAGCCTCTCACCGCTCCTGACCCTCTCTGGCCTGTACCCCAGTTCTGTATGTACAAATAAATCTTTAAAAAACAAACAAACTGAATAACCACCTACCTTCGGTGCCACCTGGGAGCCTCTGGCGGAATTGTTTCCTTCGCTGGTCCACTGATTCCGAAATCTCATACTAGGTGATAGAGCAGTAGGTACCAGCTAAAATAGCTGATTAAAATAGAATTGTGGTCGTTAGTTTTAAAGACTTTTTGTGGCGCATCCATATATCCCTAGCGCGCTTCGTGTTTCTGCGCTTGCGCAGCAGCCCTGCCCCCCCCTCCCCCTAAGTCCCCTTCACGGCTTGGTTTCAACAGCTCAATAAAGGACCTCTGGGATTTGCAATTAACTAGTTTTCTGGACTTTGGGTTTCTACTAAGTTTGACATTAATTTTGACTATCCCTAGTACCATTATTTGATTTGCAAGCATCTCTTTAGTCTACGTACCTCTATCCATCGCTGGTTTCCCTTTGCTTCATTATATAATGCGAGGAGGTCTATATAATAAATTCAGGATTCCTGTTTATGCACCTTTCAGCAAAGAGCTAGGGATCAAATAGGGGTTGAATCCTTCTATTCCTAGATAAAAGTCTCTGGCAGATGGGGGTGGGGTCAAGGCACCCCTTTAAATAAAGTCAAGTTAAGATGCACACTATACTTTGGGTAAGCAGAAAACCTTAATGAGCAAAGTAGAACAATTAAAAAACTGCTGTATTTCTGATTTTTAGTGGTCTTCTAGAATACAATACTTTTTGGAAGCATCTTAAAAGTATGATCCAGTGGTCATCCTATCAGGTCAGTATACCGGTATCTTCTATCACCCAAATACTGTCATCTTACATAGCTTATTTTTTATCAGTAAATTGTATTTTATTTCTCTTAAAGCAGCATTATGGGTAAAAGACTTATTACATTTAGGTCTGAGACTGGAGCGCCACATCAGAATTGTTTAAGTCTTCAACCACTGCATTTACTATTCATTTTCTACAACTTTCCCCAATTCTGAGTTTTAAGTACTAATTTAAAGAAGCCTATCTCCTATAGTTCACCTTTAAAAGTTATCAATACATTAATCTTGTTCCACCGTTTTTCTAGGAATAATGTTCATTATGTCCTGTATGCTGTATCACCTATCATGACCTGCCTTTAAGGTCAAGTTTGCATGTGTTAGTATCTACAGCATGTTTCCAAAGCAATGCTTTTTCTCCATTGGCCATGAGGGCAAGTATTGTGAAACAAAACATGCCTATTTTCAAGTATTTTCCAGTTTTTACACTTTTCCAAAACACTATACCCACGACCCCTCATTTCACCAACACATTCTGGAGTAAGTAGTGAGCAAAAATGTATTTCCTCTGAGCTTATGGTTTTGTCAGTTAATTCCTGAAAAATAAACATGCTCAATGGCATAAAGTGGACTCTGAAACTTTTATTCTTAAATTTAGTTTCTAGTTAACCTGTTCTTTATGTGAACTATCATTTCATTCTTCAAAGGATGTCAATCTTCCAAATTTACATAAGCTAATAAAAAATTAGTAATTTGTTTTCGATGTAGACAAATTATTTTGGTGCTTAAAGCTTTAAGTGGAGTAAATACAAAAATAAAAAATGTTTTCCAGTAAATTCAACAGAAGCAATCTCAACTGTTACAATAGCCTAAACTTCAGAAGAACTTTGTCTGCTTGCCTTAAACCTATGCAACAGGACTACCAATTATGACTGACACTCAACACTTCAGGTATGCAAATGCAAAGGAGAATTTAAAAGCTTTGCTTTCTTCTGTTAACCACCAGCTACCCATCTGGTTACTGATTTCTCCCTTTCCCATCTTTTTAAAATTAGGCAAGCTCTAATTACGGTGATCCTGGAAGCCCAATACAACACGTTTTATGTACAAGCAGCAATTAATTTGGAATACCTATTGGAATCACTGGAACACATTTAGTTGGGCCCTTTTACTCTTCCACACAGCACATTCACATGGACAGACTAAGGAAAAGGAGATGAAATTTATATCAGCACATTTTTTTTCTTTGCTTTATTAGTTTTCAAAAAAAAAAAAATTCAGTTGGAACGTTTTATCCTGGTATTTTACCATGACTCTCCCATCTCAAGTACACACAACTGAGATACCACATCACTACCTTAAAGATTATCCTGCAGGTTGCCATTCCAATCGGCCCCATTCTTCTTAAATTATTTTCTATGCTTTAATACTGGTGAAGCTTTTGTTGCAGAAATTAGGTGTCTGCACTTGCTGTTTTATTTGTAAAAATAATTTCAGCGCTTGGCAAGTACGTATTTTACTGGCCCACAAAATCGGCTTCTTGTAAGGTCCAGAATGGGCCTATGAAAGCACATGTCACAAACAGTTGTTAGCTCTGTGGTCTCCTGCCTAACCTCTAGCAGTACCAGTCAGTCAGACATGCTCCTAACTGCTGTTCTGTTAGTAGGGCATGTGATTCTAACAGTGCAAACACAAGAAACTAGATTTCAAACATCCCCCATTTGCCTAGGCGGTCACCAGGCCAAAAAAAAAAAAAAAAAAAAAAAAAAAAAA